AAAAAAAAAAAAAAAAAAGGCCACTCTGATCGTTCTCAGATTGTCAGTTTCCATTTTTTTAACATAATACCTGATTTACCTTTCCATTCAGTGTGCTTTAGTGCCTCCCAATCTCAGGTATGTACTGGGAAGGTGGAACAATTTTAATACTGACCCAAAGGAACTATAATTAGCAAGGTTGAAATTTTGTACAGAAAAGAGTCAACTTTACATTACTCTTAAATGATCTATACCACTACTGTGTTAAATTGGTATAATGGCCGGGGATTTAGCTCAGTGGCTAAATCCACGCCTGCCTTGCAAGCACAAGGTCCTGAGCTCATTCCCTGGTACCAAAAAAAAAAAACAAAAAAAAAGAATGGTTTGCTAAATTGGTATAATGGTTGGTAACCTAATAAGTGGATTCTTGATGATGTCTAATTTTTGGAAAATGCCTAAAGTTTAAATAAAAACCAACCTTATGATGTAAAATACTCTTTTGAGATTCCTACCTGACCTTTGTTGGGGTCAGGGTTCTCAGTAAATGGGCCACCTTACCATTATCCACTAGAGGGCAGTTTCCCCTCAAGTCTTAGAAGCAGGAGCCTGATCATGGGCACCTACCATTTCTTCTTACTCCCCAGCCCTTCATCCTCCAGGTAAGACTCAGTGGGGATAATGCTCTTTGAACAGTTAAGCCAATACCTGTTTCACATTTTATTTAACTTACCATGTATGTAAATTAATTTCTCAAGAGAAGAATTTTGTCTTTCTTTATATGTCATTGCCTTAGCGCAGCTCTATTCAATAGCATGTCCTAAAATGAGTGGAATTAGAGGCTTAAAGCTGTATTTGAAGGAAAAACTCTAATTTTGATATCTTAAGTTTTTAAATGTGTACACCTTTTGATCTGGCAATCCTATTTCTATGATTCTCACCTACAAGGATATTTCTACGATTATGTAAAAATATAGGTGCAAGAATGCTCACTACCGCATTATCTGTAATAGTTTTTATAAAAAGGATCTAAGCATCTATGAGAACATAAACTGAAGAACTGAAATATGGTTCTTGAAGCCAGTAAAATACTATATAGCTATTAAAAAGAATCCAGGGGCTCTAAGTGTACATTTTTCTAAGAAGAGGCAAAATACAGTACATAAAAAAGAAACAATGACTCTGTGTGTGTGTGTGTGTGTGTGTGTGTATGTGTGTGTGTAGTCATAGAAAAACTCTGAAAGTCTGGAAGAAAACCGCAGAATATTAATAGTGGTTGTTCTGTTGCAAAGGTCAGCAAACGTTTTCTGTGAAGGAGCAGATAGTAGCTCCATTAGGCTTTGTGGGACATGGGACTCAAGCCCCCTGTAGTAGGATGGCCGCTGTAGACAAACCATGATGGTGGCTGAGTTCTAATAAAACCTTATCTGTGGATGCTGAGATTTGAACCTCATATAAATTTCATGTCACAAAATATTCTTGGAATATTTTTTTTCTAGCCACCTAAACACATAATGACCATTTCACCATTTCTACTTCTGGCTGAACAGAAACAAGAAAGTGATGGCATTTTGTATGCTTTTTTTTTTCCTCCCCTGTATACTCTTTTTCAAAAAAAATAAATAAAACCTAAACTTAACTTTAAAAGTGAGATCACCAAATCCTAGCCCTAAAACAGATATAAATATCAAAGAAACGAGTCCTTATACTCACCTTCTCCTTTGACCTCGCAGAGATCAGGGCACTCCCAAACCGTGAACTTGCCTGTAAAACATGCTCTGTTAATGGGCATTTGCAAACACACTGGAATATTTTTATCAGTTAAAAACGGGGGAACAGCACATGTTGGTAGTTTTTCTTCAGTCCTTCAAGTAGTACTTACTTCAGGAGAAATTAGTACATACTGGGCCTAAAACAAAAGGGAGAAAGAGGGACAATTAATGTTTGCTGTTCATGTGGGGTTTTAACTAATTTTATACCTTCACACTCACATTGCAACATTTCCAGATTGTCCTTACAAATGTGCATATCCTTTGACTTCATAAATCCCATTTTTAGGAACTTAGCTCCCAGAAAAAATCAGATGATAAAAATGTATGCATGGTAATATTTGCCATTATCATCCTTAACAGTGAAAATTGGCCAAAGTGACCAATAATCATCACTTATATAATGGTTAAACTAGTTTATAGATAAAAAATACAGCTGACATATACATACATTATATATATGGTTATGCTTAATATATACTTAATATTATTAATCTGGCATAATATCAGATAAGAGGAACCTTTGTGGTACTGAGGACCAAACCCAAGGCCTTGGCACTGAGCTACATTTCAGCCCTTTTCTTTTTTGAGGCAGGGTCTCACTAAATCACTAAGTTACCCAGGCTCAACCTGAACTTTTGATCTTCCTGCCTTAGCCTCCCAGAGTGCAGGGATTACAGCTGTGCACCACCACACGTGGCCAGAAAAGTGGCCTTGACACAGGTTGAGTATCCATTATCCAGAATATGTGGGACTAGAAGTATTTTCGATTTTGTAATTTTTTTTTTAGAATATGTGACATGTACATAGTGAGATACCTTGGGATGGGACCTAAATCTACATATGAAATTCATTTATGTTTCATGTATACTTTAAACTTACTCATGGCCTGAAGATAATTTTATACAATATTCTAATTTGTGCTTGAAACAGTTTTCATGGTGTGGAATTTTCCACTTGTAGCATCATGTTAGCACTCAAAAAATTTTGGATTTTGAAACATTTTAGATTAGGAATGCTCAACTTACATATTTTTAAAAATCAGATTGTAGAATTGTGCACAAAATCATACATAATATGATCAGAGTTTATTATAGTGTGTATATTTTTAAGAACAAGTTTTAGAATCAGATGTTGGTTTAAATCCTTGGTCTGCCAGTTAGCAACATGCTCTTGAACAGATTTTTCTCTAATCTTAATTTCTTTACCTGTAATTGGGCGTAAGAGCAACTTTATAGCTTTGATGTGGATTAAATTGTATGTAAGTTCTGAGGATGTGCAGAATAAATGCACGACAGACAGTAGCAATTAATTTCACAAAAAATACTCAGACACAAAAGGTTGACAGGCATTAGCTCTGCAGAGTGGAATTTTAGGTAGGTGATCTATAATTTTTTTCTTTGTAGATTTTTATGTTTTCTTAAATTTTCACAGCAAACTTTCATTTTGCAACTTAAAATTTTTTTTAAATTAAAAACTTAGCAGTGGCCAAACATTAGAGGTCAAAGGGCCATATAACTTAAGGAAACCCACCCAGGAAGAGGAATCAAAACAGTTAGCAAGAAACAAAAGGCTGGAAGTTAAATGAAACCACAGTGGCCCTAGTCTGTTCTCTTTCTTCTCCTGTGGGCCCCTAGGCAGACAGTGACAGGCTGTTGCAGAGACCAACATGATACCAAGTCCAGTTAGACTTCAGATCTAGGGGCAAATGCTGCCCAGCTATGAGAACTCCAGGCCGCTGGGGTCTGCCAATCAGGGAGTGACTGTCCTGACCCCACGACCCCTGAGTTCAGACAAGGAAAGCTGCTCCATCTCATGGCAGGAAGCTGAGAAGAACCGGGAGGGTAAGGGGCTGAGGACAGGATACATCAAAGTCGTGCCCCCAGTGACTGCCCCTTCCTCCAGCTGGGCTCCATCTGTCAGTAGCCCACTCAGCCATGAACTCATCCATTGATGAAGGCGTGAGGAGGTCAGTGCCCTCACAAGCCTGACATCTCTCAGCCCTACCTCTGAACATGGCTATACCAAGGATAAGCCCTCAATACCGGAGCTCTGGAGAACACTTCATACCATAACGAGGAATCATTGAGTGATCCCCTCCCACGCGGTGGAGAATTCTGTAGAGCACTTTACCTTTTCTTCTGGACATGGAGTTATCCATGATTTGCATTGGCCTGTCATGTCGCCAACGGAGGTGTGCTTGCCGTTGTATATGTAAACTCGTCCATCTTCTCCCCCCAGCAGCCCAGAGGTTGCATCTGTGATCCTCAGTGGGGCTGACATGATAATTTCATCTGCAAACAACAAAAACTGGAAGAAGGAAGTATCCAACTCCTCTGTCATCTTTTTCCTGTTCCACTACTGGATCCTGACCCAGCTTCCCACACATAATTAGCATTTCCTTTAAACTGTCTGCCATGGTTTCCACCCAACATAGTAAAAGGCCTGTTTCCATCTTGTCGTTCATCCATAGCAGCTGGTCCATCGGGCAAAGGGACTTCACGCTCATCTGAACGCGTGCCCCTCTTACCTACACCATCATTGTCCAGGTCGCTGAGATGCAGAACCCCGCCAAAGCGGGAGAAGCGGCGATCCCCACTGAAGGTGCTGAGCAGGGCCGGCTGCACATCCTGCATCAGCCTGTACATCCGTGTGGTCCCTCCTTGGTGCAGCGTCATGGTCAGGAAGGCCATCTTAGACTTGTCATCTGAAACCAGCCAGAGGGCCCACAGACATCACGGGGGTGAAGACAGGACACAACACCCAGTTCTGCCTCGTGCTGTGAACCTAAAGGGATGCGGCGCACTTAGAAGCACACAGGTCACTTTCCATGCCCGACATCTCTGGCAGGGGGAAGGTATGAGTAAGTAGCTTGGGACCGAGATGTCAGATGCTCCCATCAGGTTCCTTCTTCCCCCTTTGGTAGAGTCCCCACACACCCACTTTATTTTTACATCAAAAACTGCCTGGCTCACTCCCCTGACTTACAAGCTCAAATGTGAGTGGACTTTAAAAGAAGTCCAGACTCTTCCCAAGGCCTCTCATAATCCAGCACCTACCTAAGGCATGAGTGCTGATTTGAGCCCCTGCCCTCTTCTCACTACACTCTGCCTATAATATAAACCACAACCCGGTGTGTGTCTTAACGTGCCTCTGCCTGGGGTAGACACCTCTCCTTCCAAACGCGACTCCCCCTTTCAAGGCCACCACCGTCTGCTCCTGCTCTTCCTCCAGAAGTTGGTTCAGTGTACCCTCTGGAAGCCTTTCCCACCCTGCTGCCTAGCCTAGGTACCGCTGCCATAGCTCCTAGACCACACTGCCAGTGCCTTCCTCGGACCCCACCCAGGGGAGCAACAGGTCCTGCTCGCTTGGGTCTCTTCTGTGTGAAGCAGTCTATTCCACGAGAAGTGGTCCCTGTCCCTCTGTCCAGTTTACCTAGCATGTTGTCTAGAGCCCCACAAGCACTCAATACATTTTGTGTTTTGCCAATGAATTATGAACAAATTCAAAACGTTAGATTTTTGCCTATAATCATTTGGAACACAGCTTTGATAGGAATCGGTATCTTCAAAAAAGAAGAATAGCAGGCTGGTGATTTAGCTCAGTAGTTCTGCCTCATAAGCGCAAGGTCCTGAGTTCAATCCCTGGTACAAAAAAAAAAAGAATAATGGCATCTTGGGCGGGTGGGATTTGGTGGCCCTCTGAGAGGCTTTCTGTGAACAGGCAATGTGAGCGGCAGTGGTGGTGCTAACAGTCTCACACCAGAGTCTGTTCACCATTGTGTGTGCAACTGATGTGACTAATTGTTTGTGGCAGACCATCCACTAGAAGCAACTGAAGGCTCAGAGCAGAGTCTTGATGACAATCAGAAATGACAGCAAAAAAACCCAGGAGATACATAATTTTAAAAGCTCAGGGTTCTGGGGCTTTCTGATACAGTGCATGACCTAACCCAACACAGTACCCGCTAAGGGAAAAATGTTAAGAAAGTCCAATAGCTAATATTGAGAGTAAAGTCCAAGGTATCAAGAAAAGCTGAAATGAGACAACTCCTCATTCCCTTCTTTCGGTGCCTCCTGCAGGGAACATGAGCCCTCTGGAGTGACAGGAATGTGGTAATACCCTGAGCTGTCTGCTTCCAGCCTCTGTTCTTCCACACCAAGGAGGACTGTGAGGCCCTGAGCTGCTGCCTACAGGACAGACATCGCCACTGGCGCCCTGCCTGTGGTAGCACAGGGCCGCGGCCATCCCCCTGCCAGACAAGGCCTCAGGTCCTCATCTCTCGGCCTCTTCTGCTGGGGCCAGATTTGAATCTGCCATGCAGACCCACACCCTCTCACAGGGAAGCCCCGCCCATGTCTAGCTTTGGGGGCAAAATCACCCTACATATGGCTGCTCCCATCGGAACCATTCTCCAACCCAGCTATAGCAGTTCCTAAGTAGTATGTATTTTAACAGGTACTTTAAAGGTACAGGAGAAAGGAGGAATAGGTAGTGTTCTAATTGTACGGCAGGATGTCTGTCGTTAATGTACATTTCAGATAGCCAGAAGGAAAGTTTTTAAGTGCTCTGGCCACAAAGGAATGATAACATATGAGATGATGGATGTACTAACTACCCTGATTTGTTCATTACTATTCTAACTGTGCCATGTAAATATGCATAATTAGTATGTGTCAACAAAATAATTAATTCAGGGCTAGGCACATAGTAGCTCAGTGGTAGAGCACTTGCCTAGCATGTGCAAGGCTCAGGATTCAATCCCTAGCATCACACACACACAAAAAAAGAATTATAAAAGCATTTATTTTGATAATCGTTTAAATGATTCAGAAATGTATTTCTCAAATGGTTTGAAATGCCAAGGGTGAGGAAGAGTTGTGATTATCACACTAAAACATCTAATAGTTACCACATTCTATTAGAGAAGCATATAATTTAGAATAACGTCATCAAAATGCTTTTTCAGATTCTCAGAATTTAGAACAAAAGGATTCAAATACTTTAAAATTTAGCCACTGAAAACACCTCCACCTGATATGCAAAATAAAGAATTATGACATACATTTTAGATAGCTAAGGGAAAAACCCCCAGGCAATGCTTTAGCATTGCTGTATCTATTATTTATAAAAGTAACTCAGAAGACCCTCGGTCTGTAAGAGGGTCATATCCAGGGCCTTCATGAGTTCCCGAATTCCAGAGTCCTGTGGCAACACAGAGGCCCTAACGCAACACTCACACCTTCTGGCTGAAAACCATCATATTTCAGACCTTGGCTGGCTTTGTCTCAAGTCCTCAGTTTCATCTGGGGAGAGGTGTTAAGATTATGTAAAGAAACAAGTGTTTTAATTTTTTCTCAAGAATAAGTTTTCCCCCAGCGGCAGCAGCAAACCAGAGCTTTTGTGAAACCTAGGTGCACCTCATACAGCTGGTCTCCCCAGCAAGCCACAGGAAGGGGACATCACCAGACGGCGGGCACATGGTGACTCAGAAAGGCTGCACATTGCCTCATGGCACAAGTTTTCAAGATTACAGTGAAACATCTGGGACTCAGTAGTAAACTCCCAGATGTCAGCATCTTTTTGCATATGACTATTACAAAAGATGGACTACTCAGAAGCAGCATAAAGGAGATTTATACAGTGTACCTATTTCTGGGGAGACAGACATAGGTGGACAGTTAGAGATCTATTTATGCATATTTTAAGCAGAACATTTTTCATATTAAAGAATTTTATACTCTGCTGCTTTTCACATTTCTGCCATTTTTAACATTTGCTATGATAATGCTACAATAAATCTTTCCTCACACTTCTGTTTCCAAAGAACAGTTTCTTAAGAGTGGTCCAGAGCCAAGGGTGTAGCTCAGTGGCACCGTCCCTGCCTGGCAAACACAAGATCCTGAGTTTGATCCCCAGTGCCAGGAAAAAAAAAAAAAAAAAAGCTAAAACAGTGGTCCATACTGCCTCCATAGGAATAAATATTTTTAAGGTTCTTGTCATGTTGTCAAAACTCTTCCTATAAAACTTCTACCAGTCTATACTTCACCCACGGTGTCTGAATGCAATCTCACCCCAGCTGTGCCATCACCATGAACAATCCCTTTCATCCTGAAGTCACTCTGTACTCGCTATGCAGCACCCTAAAGCCCCCAACGGGGGTGCACCTGTTTGAACTTGTTTCCCACAAAAACGCTAGGCCTTACTCCCGCAAGCTGCCTGAAAGTAGAACAAACTTCTCAAATTTGGATAAATCTGTACCTTAACACTCAGCTTCCCAAACTGGACCCTGAAGTGCTTTGGTGAACAGTGATTTTGTGTTCAAAGGCACCCTGTGTGGTGGAGACAGGGCCTCATTTCAATGAAAGAGCCCAACTTTCAGTAATGTCCTATCTTTGCAAAGCTGGTGTTCACAGGAAGTAGTGATAAAATGCAGGCATCACGTGACAAAGCAATGTGGATTAGGAAGTGAGATCATGATGTGTCAGGAGCCATTATACATAATTTGGGAGGAAATCTTTTCATAATTAAATTATGATTAGGGCTGTCTGAGGCCTAGTCTTCTTGCCTGCGGTCTGGCTATGGCAAGCAGAAACATAGTTCCGGTTTGCCTCCAGTCACAGCTGAGGCCTCAATGGTCCCATGATGCTGTGACGCTCAAGGGCAAGATTACATCAGCTGAAGACATCCTGGTCCTTTGAGAAAGGAGTAGTAATAAAAAGACAGAAAGGTTTCACCTGGGGAAGGACAAATTCCTGACCAGCTTAACTCGTCCCACCTACTGTGGTAAGAACGGTTTGCCCATCTCATCATCCTAATCAACATAAGCTCCTCATGGACCTAAGGTCCACATCAGCATAAGGTCCTCATCCTCATAGGATCACCACTGCCCTCCGAGTCATCTGATGCTCCCTCCCATTATTGTATGAACCCAATAAATAGTGGTAAGCTTGCAGTGTCTTTGCCCACTCTGAGGCACTGACCTCCCAGCCCCCATATACTTTGAAGTTACACAGTCTCTATTGCCTTTTTTTCTTTAGCCTTCGCTGTCCACCTTTCTAGGCAGTTGGAGAACTGATCACCGTCCAATAATGATGTCTAACTAGCCTCCAGGATTGGAGATGTACATTGCTCAAAAGGAGCTATATGGTTAGGATACAAATACCAAGCATGTGTCCTGTGCAGCAACACCGAGCACATGCTTGGAACTGCACCCTGGCTTGGCATAATGTTCTACTACCAATACGCAATTTTTAATTCAACAAGGAACCCCACATTTTTATTTGCCACTGGGCCTCAAACATTATGCAGGTGAAATGTAATTTAAATGAAAAATCTGAGCAAAACTGGTGGATTGTATTACTGGCATTAACCTGGATGTGACATTATTATGTTTTGCAAGATGTTATGGTTGGAGAAAACTGGATAAACTCTACCTGACTCTCTAGTACTTCTTCTGACTAAATGCAAGTTTATAGTTAGCTCAAAATAAATGGTTTAATTTACATCATATGTAGGATATAAACATATATAAACTTTCATTTTCTACTTTATAATTGCAAAAAAACCCATAATAATAAAGGCACCAAAACCAGGACAGTTTGGGAAGCTGTAACTCCCAGCACTCCAGTAAAGCAGTGAGGAAAATAAGATCAACAATGTGTGTTGTAAGCGTTCAGAAATTACTGTCTAAACTCTGTAAAGGAAAAAAAAAAACCTATTCCAGTGATAAATCAGCAAATTTTGATGCTGAGTCAGCGAGTTCTAATGCTGATTTTGGTGTTTTAATACTGTGTCCTTAATCATTGGAATGAAACCTTTAGCCATTCCTTTGCCAGATTTTCTTGTGCCAGTTACTTACATCTCTCCCACTTTGTATGAAACTAAAATCTTTCTGACAAATTCTGACAGGAATTCCACCTCCAGGAGTCCATCCAAACCACCAATCAGAAAGGCAGTTAAGATTTTTTTACATGCATATTCAATAGTAAGGGCAGAAGTGGAAACACCTTGTATTTCCAGGTATAAGATGATCCAGGCCTGTCCATAAGGAAAAAATGCAGTATAGGCATCAAAAATCATATTTTAGAGGATATGTAACATGCTCAAGATATAAATAAGTTAAAAATTAAAGAGTAGCTGAAGATTTAGCTCAGTGCTTCTGCCGCCTGCTTGGCAAGTACAAGGTCCCAAGTTCGATCCCCGGTACCAAAAAAAAAAAAAAAATTAAAAAGTAAAAAATACATAGTTTGACCTTAAGGTTTGACATACCTGAATAAGGGATGATTTTTTTTTCTTCTATGTATGTTATGGTCAAAAAATATGGTGTGTATTTACATTTTTTAAAAGTTACTATGGTAAAAGACACATGGCCATTAATCTCCCTCAAAATATTCTCCTTGGTTCAAACACACTTATCCCATCATTCTTGAGATTTTCTGAAGCAGTTCTCAAAATCCTCTTTTGCAAGTATCTTTAGTTGCACGGTTGTGGCTGCCTCGCTGTCCTGAATCAGTTCAAAACATTTACCTTTCATGGTCATTTTGACTTTGGGGAGGAGCTAGAAATTGCATGTTGCCAAATGTGGGGAGTAAGTGGATGAGGACCCACACTGTCATGTTTTTACAAGCCTGCCTTTCTGCTGGATGGCACTGGGCAGCAGCATTCACTGAATTTATCACACCTTTGTAAAGATACTCACAAAAGAGGACTTCCAGAACTGTTTCAGAAAAGTGACAAGAATGATGGGCTAAGTGTGTTTAAAACAAGGGAGAGAGTTTTAGGGGGGGAATAATGGCAATGTGTCTTTCACTGTAATAAATGTTTTTAACATTCACCATATTTTTTTATATTTTCACACATTTCAACAATAACCATGATTCATTTTTATAATCTAGTGAGTTGGGTTTTGTTGTGGTTTTTAAAATTCTTATTCCCATAAAGTAAACAAAATAATGATTTACTAAAATACATTCTCGGAATAGACCTATTACCAGTGAACTGATAAAATCCTTCAGCTCCAACATTAGGGGGGTAGAGGCTATCAAAACAGTTATTCATCAAAACAGCTTGAACTTGCAGTTCTCACTCATGCCTCAGCCTCCCAGAGTGCTGGGTTTACAAGCCTGTGCCACCACATCCGGTTTAACCCCAGCGCTATCTGGCACTGGATCTCACACCTTTTCCGCCAGTGAGACGCAGTCAGGGACCCTCATGACCAAAAGAAAGCAGGGACATGGCCTGTGACCTACCTCGAGTCGGGGCCCCAACCAGCAGCACTTGTGTCAAGGTCCCGTTCATCATGACATGGCCACTCGACAGGGAAGTGCCCAGTTTCCCCATTGCCTGTGAAATGCATGGGTCAGTGCCTTGCAGCTGAGAATTTCCCGGTAGCGTCCACTGTCCAGGGAGGAGGGTTTGCTATACCTTGTCCCCAGAAATGGCAAACTTGCTTTGGGAGCTGGGCGGGAAGTAGCCGTACACCTTGCCAAGGCTCTGGGTGTCCCTGTGCCTGTGGAGCGAGCGGCCTAGCCTGAAAGAAGCAGTGGGCTGAGCTCAGGGGACAGAGGACAGAGCGGCCGGGGACCCACCCCCACTCAGGCCTCCCATGCACCCCATCCTGTGATGCTGGTCCTGGAAAGGGGTGACCACTGGAGTGGATCCCAGCAGCATCCAGGTTCTCTAGGTCCCTTGGCCACCATTCTGCCTCCCATGTGACAGCAAATATGGGAACGCTACTGTCCCAGGCGGAATGGTGTTGATGTCTTAGATCCCTGGACTCAAATGGCACTGTATTTGAGGAGGATGTAAAGAAGTGGCCATGTTGAAATGAGGCCACTGGGTGGGTCCTCATCCTACCTGACTGGTGTCCCTACAAGATGAGATGCGGACACAGACAGGTACAGAGGGAAGACAGGTCAGACCAAGGGGAGAGGCATTAGCAGAAACCAACCCTGCTGGCACCTTCATCTCCGACTTCGGCCTCCAGAACAGGTGGACAGTAAATTGCTGTTTATGCCATTAGCCTGTGGAACTTTATTATGGCAGGCCTGGCAAACTCATATACTTATCAATCATATTTATCACCTAAGATGGAGAAGCAGTGGGCTGCCAACCTCCACTTGTCCTTCCAAGGGCAAGAACGCCCTCAGCCCTTTGCCTGTGCCCACAGTGACTGAGCCCACAGCAGCAGGCAGCCATCTGACCTGCGTTCCTTGGTCCCCGGGCCCATGCCAGTCTCACCTGCTGACCTTCTTCCAGGTCGGGCTCCCCACCAGCAGCAAGGTGCTGTTGTTCACTGTGACGCCATGAAGGGAGTAGCCAAACCAGGCGAAGTCCTCCTCACCTCGCACCAGCCAGTCCGCCGCCTCCACACCCAGCTCTCCTGGACAAGACAGCAGCCCCTTCAGTCAATGAGGACCACAGGGTGCAGACCCTGGGGCCTGCACGGGGCCTGAGGAGAGATGGGCTCATTGAGTTTGCCCCCAAATTCTTAGATTTCATACTGATCCCAACATCAGACATAGATCCCACATTTCACACCCAAATATGTTCTAGAGCTCATTTCTGAGGAGTGGGGGATGCTATTTAGAAAGGCCCTCACTGGACCAGTCAGAGCACCCCAGGAAGCCCACGGCCCTAAACTGCCTTAGCATTTCTGCTTCACTGGGAGAGACTGTGACAATAACCTGTTGGCTCCCTGGAAATTGGGCCCCTTTTCGTATACTCTGAAGCTCTACCCACATCACTTACACCATCTGTAAGGCTGTTGGGAAGTCTTGGTGACATTATATGGAAGTAAAAGGACATAAAGAGAAATATCAGGCAGGTTGGGAAGCCATATCTCTGTCCCTTCCCCCATGGGGCTCTACCTTTTTTACTCTCATGGGAGCCAGAATAAAACGCAGCCACCATGCCTTTCTGCTTCCCTCCACCTGGTGCAAAAGGCGAGCCAATCACCAGGTCTGGCTCGCTGTCTCCACTCACATCTGCAGCCAGGAGCGTCCAGCCCAAGTTACAGTAGACATCCTGCAGGGGAACCAGGAGCATGTTGGACTCGGCCCTGGAGACACACAGGGTGCAGAGTTCCAGGTTCCTGTACCCGGCCAAGGTACTAAACGTACCTGGCAGGAGATGGTGATGTCAGGGCACGAAGACAGTCTCCCGCGTTTGGAACCAAAGTAGATGTACACCGCTCCCTAGATGAGAACAGACAGTGACAGACCAGAGTGCTCAGGTGGAGACAGCCACCTTTAAAAGCAGAGAGCGGGCTGACTGTGAAATTAACAACCACGATTCCCTTTGTGCAGGACCTTAATACCTAACAGACCCATCCTATGCCTTGCTACTGGGCTGATGGCATTTTTAAAAACCTGTCTCTTTCATCAGAATGAGAGACCCAAAAGCAAAACTTGTCATTTTTATCTTTCCCTCCCAACATCATGCTCAGGGTCGGTCAGATTAGTGTGCAGTGTGTTCACAGGGTGACTTCCTCCACTGTCCCCTCCAAGCCTCGCTGGACAGCCCGTCACACCTCTGAGGAACACACCACACACGGTGTCTGTACCATTTCCTGGCCAGGAGACGCACTGAGCTATTTTTCTGTGTGATGAGTCTGTTCTTTTCCACCTTGGCCGTCTCCATCCCCACTGATTCTACAAGCATTTGTTCTCCATCATGAGCCAAGACCTAGGCACACAGTGCCAGGTAAGACCTTTCCCTGCTCTCTCCAGAGCTGGTGGACAGGTGATTGGATGCAGCTATGGTGGGTACAGATGGGACAGGATGTTGTGCAGGCACCACGAAGCAGCAATTGGCCCCACTCAGGAGTGAGGCAACACCGCCTCCAAGAAAGTACATGGAGGAAGCTGGGCAAGCAAAGTCCAGCGAGAGAGCCTGCCAGGTGGGCTCAAGAGGTGACAGAAGGTTCTGGAAGTACAGTGTGGGAAGGACTATCCTGGGAGGGTAGCCGACAAAAGGCCTTTGACCTCCAAGGTCACACAGCACCCAGGGCTGGGGCTGTACCGTGGTGTGGTACATGAGCAGTGCCCAGGATCTTGGCTCGTGGAAGGAAAATTGGCAGCAGGCAGTTTTGGGCATGAAAAGCGAAGCCCAAGGAGTCACCTCCCTACTGTGACAACAGGAAGCTACACACCAGCTGCCATTTCAGACTCCTTTGCCAGCTTTCACTGTGGGGCAGTGTGGAAAGAGTAAAATACCTGATGGAGTTGTGGAACTACAAGACCAAAGGCAGGCCAGGGAACAAATGCTGTGTGGTAATTGGAGGTCACACCAGGGACCAATTGATCCGAGCTGGGCTGGCACATGGGGGGCATCTACCCTGCTCTAGGACTCTCCCAGCAGTGCTCCCGCTCCTGTCGCACCTCACTTGCCCTGACCCCTCCAGCCTTACTTTGTATGTGAGCTGCTCAGAGCCCACTGAGGGCGCTCCCACGGCCAGGTCTGGCTCCCCATCCTTGTTAAAATCCAGCACAGCCACGGCCGAGCCAAAGCGACCTGAGGGCTGAAGAGGCACAGGTTACACCCTGGGCTCAGCTCCGGCCTGGGCCAAGCTCTGAGAGACTCCCTGAGGAGAGCGCCTGGATGCCTCCCACCACCAAGGCTGAGGCCCCCCAAGTCCCGGGCCTGTTACACAGCTGTGACAGCAGTGGGCAGCTCTGCCCTGAGGGTTGGTGGCATGTCTGTCCACCTTGAGGGGACACCAGGGCCTGGAAAGCAGATGGGCACATTTGTAATTCCAGGTTGGTAGAAAATGGGTCTCATGTGCTTTCATTCCCAGAGCAGAACACTAGACTCCCTGCCAAAGTGTCTCCAGCAAGCATCACATGCACAAGGAGCTGACACTAGTTGAATACTCGGCACATTTTACACCACACTGCCCAGTGAGGTAGCTGCTAGCTACCTGTTTGAGGTAATCAGCATTAAAAAGTTAAAAATTCAGTTCTTCAGTCATACTGGCCACATCTCAAATGCTTAAAAGCCTGCACTTAATGGCTCCCAGACTGGATGGTGCAGCTCTAGAACATTCCAGTCACACAGGAAGTTCTGCAAATACACTATAGTACACTGCTCTCAGCGCTTGACGGGGATTAAGGTGGGAACTGTGCCCATCCCTACTCAGTTTACAGATGGAAAACTTACTCTTCAGCAAGCTCTCTTCCTACTTAGATTTTCTACACACTTTCTTCCTTCCACTGTCTAAAACCCTAACATTAACCCATCCGTACTCCAGTTCTTGCATAACCTATCCCACAAGAGCATCTTGCACAGTGTTGCTTACCACACCAGTGTGTCCCAGTGCCCCATCTGTGACTGATGAGATCATTTCCTACCCTGTGTCAGTGGCACGTGAAGAGACGGGAACCTGATAGACTGGAAGACTGCCTGGGGACAGACAGCACACTGGGGCAGGGTGGGGACCTCTGGGGACAGTTCCTTTCGTCACCCACCGCTGTGCTGTCAGGACCTGCCCAGCTCCCTGAGAAGCAGGAAGGGGTTGAGCAGGCAAGGCCTTGGGCTGTCCATCCCAGCACTCCTCTGCAGGCCAGAGCACAGGCTCAGGGCACCATGTCTTCATCATGTCGTCAAGGTCACAACAGGAGGAGAACAGGAAGCAGCTTCCTCTCCCCACTGTCTGTAGGCAAACAGGCGCCACACTGAACAGTGGCCTAAAGGGAGCATGGCAGGGCGGTAAGAGCAACAGGAATGGGCTTGTTTATTTCAGAAATTTTTCCTGTGGTATCAGGAGGCTCCAGAACAAAGGACAGCCTGTGGGGCTGTGGGCCGTGGGCCATGGGCTGTGGGACCTCCTGCCTTGGCCAGCCCAACTTATTTACACACTTCGGACCTGGGGCTCCTCTCCTCAGAGCCTAAAATGGCTCATCAACCACTGCATTCTTGGCTTTTTAAAAGTATGTCCAAGTGGGATGTCTTACTTTTGCTTCACAGAATTCACTGCAAAAGGAGAACTATCTTGCCCAGGAACAGAACCACGGCCTGATTCCAAGTCTAGGAGAGTTTCTTCTGTTCAGCTACTGAGAGTTTCTTCTGGAAACCAGTTTGTTCTGGTGATGAATAAAAACTCAAAGCAAAGGAGTAAAATCTGACAGAGCCTGGGACGGTAGTTAACACCCTAATGTGGGTGTTTCATTTTCCCACTGATGTTCCATAATTATATAAGGTATCAGCACAGGGAATTGGGGAAGGGTCTACTGGAACTCTATTGTCTCTACGCCTTTCTGTGCACCTAAAATTCTTAGAAAGCTATACATATGGCTTTATATAATTGAGAAATCACATCCTAACTGGCCATTCAACCAGCTCCAAACAGCACACGTGTTTTAGCCATGAAATACTCAAAGTTAATGATACATGAGGTAAATGATGTGAATGTGCTTTTAAAAACAAAAAGTGCCACACAAACATAGGCCACCAACTGTTTTCCTGTCACAACTTGCTCATCCCAGCGAACTTGCCATGGGGCTCAGCCAGTGGCCCCTTCCCCTCTAGAAGGATAGATCAGGCCTCACCTGGGAGCCCTCCAGGACCCGGTGCGCCTCCTGGTCCAGGTCCAGGTCGATGTCGGGCAGGCCCTGGTCGTTACCGTAGATCAGGTACACACGCCCGACCTGGAGGTGGCCAGGGCGGCTGTAGCCTGGTGCACCCACCACGAGGTCATCGTTCCCGTCCTGGTTGAGATCTGCTGAGGCCATGGCCCTTCAGGAAGAGAAGGACTCACTGCAGTCACCACTGAGCAAGGAGGTGAAACTCCCTGCTGCCTCTTTGCTCTCTAGAACCCACCATTTAATTTTCTCTCGCTGGTTGCTTGACCTTCAGGATACTGGTAATATTCCCCTAGGAGGCCACAGTATCTCACTGTAGAAGGGAAGCTGGACACACGGCCTTTGGGCATGGCCTCTGGGCATCTCGGGAGCTCATAACCTCACAAAGCACCACATCTCCTGGGCTCTCTGAGATCAGAGGACAGTTGCACCCATGCAGCCCCCAGCTGCTTTCTGATCTGCTCAACTCATGTCAGTGTCCTGCATTAAAAATCAGGCTGCATTTATTTCCACCAGACACACACAGGGCACCTTTACTGGGTTAAATGGAGCACACAGCATATTTAGTGGATGCGTCCAGACAGGACTCATGACCTAGCAGTTTGCAGAGATGGACAACCAGAGTCAGAGGTTCAAAGGTCACTGTCAGGGCTGGAAAGTCCAAATGCCAGGTGTCTATTCTAGCTCTTGTAGCCCCATAGAGAATAAATGGCAGGACGGGGGAGGAGGGCAGAGCAGTTTCAAGGGGCTGGATGCCTGCTGGGAGGGGCAGACTCCTAGGTGGAGCCACTGAATTTTAGGCTCCCTGATGCTGGTGCTGCTTGCAATAGCCCATGGGGAAGGCCCTGGACAGCTGCCCACACTGCTGCCAGCCCTGCAGCCAGCTTTGTCTGGCTCTTTCAGGAAGTTGGCCAAAAACCATCATTGGCAAGTGGATGGCAAAAGAGGGATGGGGTTCATCCCTTTGACACATCAGGGACCCAAAAAGGAAGGACTGTCAGTAAACTGCTCCAAGAAAATGCATGTCATCGAGATTTAAGGAATGTCATTTTTAACAAAGAAGTATCACCAAATGATCCAGAAAACAGTCGCTTTTGTATACTTGAGCCAAGTTTTAGACAAATTTTAAAATCAGAGGACTAACAATCTTTATAAAATTATAGTATAATCAAATCCCTGTTATAGCCCTCTGCTTACATTCTTCTAATGTCATTAAAAAAAAAAAAGTGACAATATATCCCCAAGACTACTAGAGCTTTACAAATACTCTTTAAAAATAAAACTTTATCATAATCATTTAGCAAAATGAAGGCTCCTTGTATTTAAACATATTTGACCAATTTTAAAAAGATCACTTCATCTTTAAAATAGCTTGTCCGCTATATTATTTTTCTGATGATGAATTCATTGGAAAATAAGGTGTTAACAGATGCCATTTGTGAATGAATGAAATAAGGATGGAAACATTCCCAAGGCACATACCAGCCAAGCCTGGCATAGGGAAAGGACAGGAAGTAAGATGCTGAGGGTGTGGAGATATGCTTCATGGGGTGCTGGGAGCTGCCTGTAAACATGGTCCGTAGGCTCCTTTCCAAATTCTGGTACACAAAGGTTATGGAATCCTGAAAAAGTATTATCATAGACAGGTAAAAACACAGATAATCAACAAAAGCTATTGGAAACGAGTTTTTACAGGTGTTAAAAAGTAAAACATTGGGCTGGGGATTTAGCTCAGTGGTTCCACTGCCTGCCTCACAAGAGCAAGGTCCCGAGTTTGATCCCCAGTACCAAAAAAAAAAAAACATTGAGGGCCAGGGATTTAGCTCAGTGGTTCTGCCGCCTGCCTTGTAAGCGCAAGGTCCTGAGTTTGATCCCTGGTACCATAAATCAATCAATCACTGATTCTATCAACAAACAAGGTCACAGAGGCCAGGCAATAAGAGGGACATCGCTGCCCCTCTAATGGTTTGCTGAGGGGGAGTAGAGGTAAAGCCCAGCCGGCAGGACCAGCATCGGAAGGGTTACCCAGGACACAGTACTCCAAACCAAGTCAGAAGGGTCTGCCCTAATTTGTAGACCAGCTGAACAAAATCATATTTGTAGACCAAAGTTTGAGAAAAGACAAGTTTGCACAATCTGGAACCATAATGTTTGCATATCTTACTTTTCTCCAAATAACGAACTAGACCATTGCCAGGATGCCAAAACACCATCTAAATCCCAGGAATATTGAGATGCCACTGCATGCACTTTCAATCTCCAGAAACAGGTGGCAGAGGTCACATGCACAGCCAGAAGCTGTGTTCTAGATAGAGGAGAGCAGAGCGTGAGCCCCTCGGTTTGGGGTGCTGAACTGTCCTTAATGTAGCTACTGTGCTCTGCAGTATGCAGAGCAAGCTGGCTGGGCACCAGATCCACCTGAGCTAAGAGGATGCAGCTCTAAATCCACCCACAGGTAACACAGGACAGACCCAGACTCCAGGCCCAGCCCAGAGCAGAGCAGAATCCCTGCAGTATTTGAGTTCTTGGTGATGGCCATTCTTTCTGGAGTAAGATGGACTCTCAGGGTTGTTTCAATTTGCATTTCTCTCATGGCCAGCAATGCTGAACATTTTCCACATATTTATTAGCCTTTGTACTTCTGCAGTGGCTATTAATTTCAGGTGTCCATTTTTGATTGGGTCTTTTATTTTGGTAGGTCTAATTTCATTGAGTTCTTTAGACAGTCTAGAGATTAGTCTATCTGAGGAGTAGCTGACATTTTTTTCCCCATTCTGTAGGTTGTTTCTTCATTCTGTTGGGTGTTTCCATTGCTCTACAGAAGCATTTTAATATGATCCGATCCTTGTTGATTCTGGATGGTATTTCTGGTGCAAACAGGGTTTTATTTAAAAAATCCTTACCTATACCTAGATCTTCAAGAGTTGCACCTATTTTATCTTCCAGTAGATTGAGTATTTGTGTTAAGATCCTCATCTTTTTATTTTAGTGCATAGTGAAAGTTAGATTCAATCTTCTTGCATCTGTAGAGCCAGTTTTCCCAGGACCATTTGTTAAAGAAGCTGTCTTTTCTCCAGCATATGGCTTTTGACCCCTTTGTCAATGATCAGGCAACTGAACGCCTTCCATTGTACTGTATGCCTTGTCTTGTGTTATAGTTTCCTCAAATTTCCAAACATTCTGAAATTTCCCCAAGGAACAACCAGAAGTGTGCTGTCTCATTAGTGAAGTACTATCTACGGTACCTACTGCCCAAGGCCTGGTTCAAATGCTACCTCCCTCCAAGAAGCCACCCCTGATTGCCTCCAAAATCAAAAGGACTTCCAGGCTAACATCCCCGTACCCAACTATGGCATTTGGTGCATTCTATCCACATGTGGTTATTTTTTATCTGTCACACCTATTAGACTGGAATCTAAAGGTCGGGCTATTTCCCTTTCATAGTAGTGCATGACCTCACATAAAGGATGATTCCATGGATACAATGGCACCCCTCCCCATAGGGCTGCACACAGCAGGCCTTCAATGCTGCTGACAAGTGTGGACCTAAGCCAAAGCAGGGCTGGTCCTGGTACCAGGGGCACCTTGGGTGTCACCAACTTGACAAAGGCCAATGAGGTCTCGGGTTATAGCATCTCTAGAACAAGCCACAGTTAGAGACCAAGGCCATTCATTGGTCTGGCAGAAGCCCAGGTAACTTTCCCTGCACCATCCACACCCAGGGTGTCCACAACAAGGCCACACAAGCAGCAGTGTGTGCCTCGGTCTCCATCAAAGCAGAAGGTTCTCACCGGGGTCCAGGAATCCACGCTGTAGAACACGCCTCTTTCCGTATAGTTTATGTTTTTTCCAATGTGTTTGGTTACAGATGCAGTCAAATTCCTATGGAATTCATTTTTCTGTGCTTTTGAGCTGTTGACGAGACAGGAATAAGAGGGTTAAGATTGAGAAAGTAACCAACCACCTGAACTTCTGAGTTGAAGAATAAAGTCCCATTAACCACAGGTTAAAAGATGACAGAATTTCAACCTTTGTAGGTCAGAAACGACACAAAACCAAAAATCTTAGAAAAATCTTTTAGTAAAATATTTTAGTAAACACATTCCAAAGCTTAAAAATCTTAACCGATATTTCTGAGACAGGTGGAGCTCAGTGGTAGAATGCATGCTTAGCATGTGTGTGGCCCTGGGTTCAATTCCCAGCATCACCACCAAAGAGGGTGGGATACTGACATTTTCTATAGTCTCAAAATTCTTCGGTAGGAAGAAAAGATTTCAAAATTATTACTAAAAACTAAAGATTTCAATATTTCTCATAAAAGAAACAGGTCTATAGCAGGTGGAAAAAGTATTATGTCAACATAATGATTTACCTTTAAAGACATGCTAGAATACATACCCCAATAAAAATTCTCCAAGCCACATAGTTTAACCAGCCTGTAAAACAGATGTCCAAAGAGCCAGAAAGGCTTCTGAAATGAAGCGGAAGCCAGCAGTAGCCACAAGGGGAGGGCAGGACCCCAACATCCACAGCCAGGAGCCCACAGTGTGCAATTCAGTTTCTTTGTTTTGCAATAGCAGGGATTGAACCCAGAGCTTTTGCACTGAGCTACATCCCCAGGCCTTTTAAAAAAAATTTTTTTTAAATTTTGAGACAGAATCTCAATAAATTGTCCAGAGTGTGTTCAAACTTGCAGTCCTCCTTCTTCACCCTCCCAGAGTGCTGGGATTACGGGCATGTGCCACCACACCCAGCTGCAATTAAAATTTTTTTTAAAAACAACCAAACCTACCTGCTTTGAAAAATAAAGCAATGAGGGTTTACCTGAACCATTTTGCATCTTTTAAATTCCTCTGAAGTGTGAAGATCATTCTTCTCAGGGCCCCTCATCACAATGCCCTGTTTCTGAATTTCTAATATTTGCTCACCACTTCTTCCAGCACAGCTCTTGAGTAGCCTGGGCTGGGATCCCTGTGGCACATTCCCAGCTCACCTTGCATTCTCCTCTTGAGGCTCGTGAACACTCACAATGACTTATTCCATGCCCAGCCACCTGCCTGTCACACACCCCAAGAGGCGAGCAGGAGGCACCTGTTCATGATGCTCTCGCACCTAAGGGGGCTCCTGGCACCCAGTGACCAATATCTGGCATTTCAGTATTTATATTTAGTCTGACATTTTGCTAATAATATATATTGATTTCTATTACTAACATGAACGAATGACTGGTGGTTCGTACCCACTGGCACCAGCAGGAGACACCAGTAGTACCCAGGATGAAAGCGGGGTAAAGATTATGAGTAATGATGATAATTACAATAGTATGAAGAATACCAAGTATTGTTAGAGAGCAACTCACTATGTGCTTGTGGCTTTGCATCCACCCACACATAATCACTGCCACAATCCGAGGAGCAGACCCAGGCTCTGTCCACGGTGCAGAGAGAGGAAGCTACACCTCAAAAACCTCAGCAACTTGCTTAAAAGTCCCATGGCTCTGCATAGCAGAGGTAGAATTTGAACAGACATCTGTCTACAGACCCCATGCTCTCAACTGCACCCTCCTACCCCGGGTGAGATGTTCTTTTCCCGTGAATGATTCTGGAATCCACTCACCTGTGGCTGTTGTTTCGATGGCCACCACATGCAATGAATAGAGGGTTCTCGGGCAGGTCACAGTTGCTGGGGAAAAGTGCAATGAGTTAGGCAGGTGTTGACCTTCTCCTAGAGCATGACTTGTACTGAGAGTCGGGTGCAGTTCAAACCCCCTTTTTTAAAAGCTTCAGGTGTTCACTGCCAGGCCATACAGGACCCAGAAGGAGGCCGAGTCTTTCCAGACAGGGTGGCTAAGGTGACTGCGGTTTGGGAAAGGGTCCCACAGCCCCATGCCTCAGACTCACCCCTCCCCCCCTACCTGCCAAGCCACTGCAACTAATGCAAGATGCCCTGGATTAGAGGTGATAGAAATCATTCCCATCTACATCATCTTCCACCCAGTTATGCCCATTTCCACTCAAATATGTCTGAGTTGCTCTTTTAAAACAATCCTACAAATTCCTACAAATCCCTGTTGTGAGCTAAGAGGACCCTGAGGTACCAGGGCTGGACTCTTCCCATGGGGGCCTCCCCAGCTCTAAAGAGAAACAGGGCATTTGCCTTCCAAGTGTCCTTGGGGGGGGGGATAAGAAGATGCCTACATTGTGCATGATGGCCACCCAGGGAGGCTCAGCTACCTGACATGAGAACAGAGCACAGGGCAAGGAAACAGATGTCCGGGAAAGATTTCAGAAAAAGAGGCAGAGAGAAGCTGAAGGCAAGCTTTATCCCATCAGACACTTCCTTAGGGCCAGCTTTGAGCTGAGGAAAATATTCTCTGAGTCCTCTTCGCTCCATCGCCAGGATTAAAATGATAGTTGGGGCTGGCTATGGTGGTGCATGCCCCTAATCCCAGGACTCTGGGAGATGAGGCAGGAGGATTGCAAATTAGAGCACAGCTGGGGGAAACGAGTTAATGCTTCTTTTCTTCTAGGCTCATTACTCTCAAAATTCCTTAAAGATATTTCATATATTAGCTTAGTTGATAAAGTAAAGGGCAGAAACCTTAAGATAAAGGAACAGACAGTTTAAAATGTTTTTAGGCAAAACATCTTAGATTATCCTTCAAAAAAACTGGTGTAACTCCTGCCTTTCACCTAGAAAATAGGTAGGCCAACCTGTTCCCCCATAAACCAAGACCAAGGCAGAACTTCCTACAGACTCACAAATTCCATGGATTTCCACTGCCAAAAACACATTAAGTACTCCCAGCTCCAAACTGTAGCACACCACACCGAGTGTCCACTTTTACATTTCTGCCTAATAGATCTCTTTATACCTCTTTAAAAAGACAAATTAGCAATTTAGTGAGATCCTATCTCTACATTAATAAAGAAGGGAGGGAGGGAGGGCAGGCTAGAGCTGTAGCTCAGTGGAGAGGGTCTGGTTCACTCCCCATTATTACAAAAGAAAAAAAAAGGCAGCTAATGACATTGCACTAAACCTACAAATACATGTTGAGGTAAGCAGAGTTCTGGCTGAGGATGTAACCACCAATAATTCATCGTTTCTTTAGAAAAGTATGAGTTTCAAATAACAAATGAGCTTTGGAAGATAACCCATTATTAGTCAGCTGAAAAATGCATGTTTATATGAAAATATGTGTATATTTTTTCCTATCATGAATTTATTTGTATTGTCTCTCTTCGGAGCCTTCTCCAAATTTCTCATAAATGTCCCTGAATTGGGACAAATCTTTCTTTGTGCATAAAGAAGCAATTGATTTGTAGAATTTTGTGCCTTGGTAAATTATGACTCAGATCAAAGGAGAAGAAACATATTCCTTTCAATTATTTCTTCCTGAGGAAAAGATGTGGTCCAGCAGTACATCTTTTCTTAGCTATATGTGGAACCAAACCAAAACAAACCCCAAGTGAGGGGAAGGGGGAGGAGAAAGGAAAGAAGGGAAAGGAAAAACCAGAAACAAAGTCTTTCTAAATAGGAAGGGGGGGGATGAAGGGAGGGCAGGGGAATGGGGAAAAAAATAGGAACCAAGACATATCATGTACAGGTACAAACTCCCAATGATGAATGTCATCATACTGTGTACCTAAAATGTACCAATAAACTTAATGAATTTAAAAAACAACTCAAAGTGTGTTTTCCAGCTTTGGGGATTGTTACACAAGGATGACATAAAACAAGGAAATGAGGTCATTCATCCTGATGCAACCAAATGTTACAAACCCTTCCAATAAAGACTTAGCTTACTTCTAATAACAATTATAATAACAGAAGCCAAATTTACTAAGTGTTTACTACATGCTAAACCCTTGGCATGAGCACATTCATGTACTCCTCACAGCCTCTGATAAAGACAGAATGATTACTGCCCCCATTCTACAGATGAGACACTAAGGATCAGGAGGGTTAGCAGCAGTTCCAGATAACTCAGTGGGAGTGGCAGGGCTCTCAAACCTGTCCTTGCTACAGCCCTGCACCTTAAACTCCCAGCCACGGAGGCAGGGCTTGGGACAGGAACTTGAGGCTCCTCTGCTATTAAAAATGCCATTTCTATTAGTTTGTTTAGCCCTGCCAAATTGTTACTCACTGAGGCTTCAAAACAAGTTTCCTAAGCTAAAGTCAAACTCATCAAAGGGAATTTTGTTTCAAATCAACACAACGTGTAATTATGATTAACATTATGTGAATAGTAGAAGGTGTTTTTAAAGGCACAGGAACATCGCCCCATGCATAGTCTAGAGCTCTGCTTCTGTCAGCCACTCCAACTTATAAATGCCTGCACCTCCTAGGATCCTACCCTGGAACCACCGCCCTGGGCCCAGCTCCTGCCTGCAGAACCGGCTTGCCCACCCTGCAGCACCTGCCCTGCCCACCCTTTCCCTAAAGTAGGGGTGGCCTGTGATGCTATGCTTCCTCCTCAAGCTCTGCCTGGCCCCCCAGCTCCACAGCTGGAGGACTTGTACCTGACAGTGCTGGTGCGAACACCTTCTCCAAGGGATCCTGGCCCCCTTGGATGATCCTGCTACCCCATTTTTATTTGGGCTGAGTCTCTGGTTAACTCTTGTCCTGAGCTGGGGCTGAGTGGCTGTCCCATCTGGGCTGCTTATCGGATTTTTCAAGGAAGGCTGCACCATCTGTTTCATTCTGGAGGACAAGGCTGTGGCTGGGGTTTTGGTGGCCTCTGTCCTCTTACTGTGAGATCAGGCAGCCCTGGGCCCTGAGAGGTCAGTCTGGGTGAGAGGAGGATGGCCACACAGCCCCAGTGTAGTGGTGCAGCCACCTCAGAGCCTGGGGAATGGGCGCTCCTGCCCCACCATGAGTTCCAAGGAGAAACTCTGGGGCACTACCCAGGGGCGGATTCCTTCCTGTCTGATTTCTCACAGACCATAGCACGTGCCTCTCCATCCCTAAAACTTGCCTGGCCTTAGCCAAGCCAAGTGTGTAGGAACCCATCAAGTTTTTGAGATGACAGTTTCTACCCTTTACTTCTTTGAATAAGTTAACACTGTAGTTCATGAGATGGTTTGGTCTTGTTTTTGTTTGATTAGTTGAAAAGCCTAAGAATTATTCTGGGGAACAGGGTGGAAAGACAAGGAGGATTGGTGTAAGAAAGAGTAATAATTCACCTGGTACCATTCTCTAGCATGAAGCTCGTCAGACGGTAGATATTTGTGGACCAGAATGCCATATCATCAAGTCCTCCAAGGAAATACTCTTGGAAATGTTCCACCAAAAACGGGGACTTCATAGAGTAGGTGGAATAAAGCTACAGCAGAGAGAACAGAAAGATAAGTAAGGTGCCATTCCTGCCATTTGTACATTCCTTTAAGATTTCAAAGAGTAAAATCTTTACCTTGGAAACAGCTAACATCTCTCCATACCTGCAACATAAATGATCATTTTGAGAGATGTAGTTTCTATAGAGAAATGAAGCAAATAAGAAGAAAAAAGCACCATCCACATGTACCCAACTATCATGCAACTGTCTTCAAATAAGCAAAATCCATAAATGCAAAATCCATTCCTAGGAACTAAAACGTGGAAAGAATGCTAAGAAAGCCACACTAAGATCAGTTGGACACTTTCCCCTGGGTCATACTTACATTTCCAGGAACTGAAGGTATGAACAGTCGACAATGACATTTTCAGTGATGACTTTTCGACCATAGAGTTTCTCATAAATCCCTAGTAGATCCTTGACAGGCACATACCTGAGAAATGCATTAGAATAAAATGTTTTGATTCTAAAGTTGGCTATAACAGCAACAGAAAGAGCAGCTCTCAGTTATTCCATAATTATTATATACCAGATATTGTTTCAGTGATACTACCAGGGCCCCTGTATATTCCCACTTTACAGAGGGGGAAACTGAGACACAGAAAAGTTAAATAATTGGCTCAGGGATGCAGAGCAAACAACTGGTACCTTAAGTATTTGGAAAGATATTTTCAAAGGTTGGAAACTATGAAGGACAAAAGAAGCATTTAATTTTGTAAACTGAGGGCTGGGATTTAGCTCAGTGCTGCTCCTGCCTGCCTCGGAAGTGTAAGATCCTGAGTTCTATCCTAATTGAGAGTTCAAGAAAAAATTTAAGTATTTTCACTTTTTTGAATTGAACTGTTCTCAAGAATCATTATTTTTAATACAGCAAACATGGATCCTCACCCTAACATGCTAGTTTCAGAGAATACAGTGTAAAGTAGTGAAAAGAACTCTACATCCAATTTTTGGTTCACATATATTAGTTATTTCTGCTGGAAGAACAATAGGATATTTTAAATTTAGATTTTTTTTACTGATTCATCTTTTAATTTCAAAATACTTATAATTGACAAAAATCATGACCAATAAAATCTGATTGAAGTATATTTACAAAAAAGAAAGGACTGGCAAGTCCATTTTTTATTTTATAAGAACACTGGAATGACTTTCCCTATGAAAATAGCTTAAAAAAGAGAAAAATAACAAACAATATTTGTTTTAATGAATCACTAAGCTAGCAAGAAAGTGAAATATTTCCAAAGATCAAAACAAATGGGAACTAGGAAGTCTGGGAGGTAAGCAGAGGGGAAAGCCACCTTTCCCCAAAACATCTGCCAATTCCTGGGAACCTGGAGGGTTTTGATGGTTCACAGGAGACGTGATAGAACCACCTGAACTGAACCATCTCTGCACTAAGTCTAGAATACAAAAGGCTAGGTATTTTGCATGAGTATGAGCTAGAAATGAACCAACATAAAAAAAAAAAAAAACACAGCAAAGAAATCTGCCTGTTTTCATCTTGGCAATGGAGAGAGAAGGAAAATATATACATATAGCCTCAGAAATGGTAACCCACATATTGCAATTAGAATCGGCAGCCCCACAAGTGTTTTATCCTGCGTCCATGCTACCTGTTTAGTCAGAAAACATTGGAGGTCGAGTGTAAGTTAAAGAGGTCCCAGATAATAGGACCTCAAGGTAACCTACAGAGGCCAAAGCAAACCCTTGCTGGAGAAAAGGAAGCCTGAGTAATTCAAGTTCCATGAATATAAATAACCCAAAGATCACCAGTACAATGGCAGGCAAAGCTGAAAAAGTAGGTATTGAGGCAAAAGCATTGCTAGAGGTAAAGAGGTCACTAAGTCATGGTAAAAAAGTTCAATTCACCAGAAGAGATAACTTTGAAACTCGACTGTGTCTAAACTGTTTATCTTCAAAACATATATGTATGTTGACAGAACAGGAAGAAGTTGAAAAATCGACTATTAGGAGAAATTTTAAACAAATTCTTCCCTCAGGGGTGATCATTAGGTCAATTTGATAAAAAAAAAAAATCTACACATAGGCGTA